TGAGCTGATGTGGGAAGCTGCTCACGTGTTTGGAATACAGCAGGTTGCAGAACATAATCTTATACTAAGATGCCACTTGTGAAAAAGGGTAGATATATACTCGTATGTGCTTCCCTGATGTTGATTGTTTTACAAAGTAAAACAAAGACCCTCCACTAGCAAAAAGACTGCAGCTCACTTGATTGTGATAGTCACTTTATTGCAATGGTCTGGCCCCAGACCAGCAATATCTCTGACGTATGCATGTATTTGTTTACATCTGCATTGGAAATATCAGGAATAGAGATGTTTGTGGAGAGATTGCTATTTTTCTATTTTATAACTTCTTTTCCTTCTGTCTTACCGCTACTAGCTGACTACTAGGCTAATGGAACCCAGACCTCCGTGGCCAGATACCATAAGGAATACATCCTTTATAAAAAATAGTTCAGAATGTCACTGAGCAAGCAAGAAAGCAAACAATAAATGTAGGATTATACAAGTAATAAATTACAGTGAGAATAAAAGAGAAGATTAAATAAATACAAGGGGCATGAGATCAAAAGAGATTGGCTAAACATTTAGTTGTTCTCATGTGATTGTTCCTCTGATAAACGGTAAGTGGCGTGCCAGAACACTGTTAATGAGTGGTTGGATGTTGGTGGCCAAACAGCGGAAGGTATACAAGCGTTTTCTCGTACTCACCAATGCCTTTAATCAGGCGGCAGTTCGGAAGGTCTACGGATTCTACTTCACTGGAGGCTTTAAGTCGGTTCCTGTTTAAAAAAAAAAAAAAATTCACCTGTTGATGTATTGTATTCCCTGCTTTGTTGCAGAAGGGGTTTAAGAGGGCTTACAGCCATCCAGAATACACAGCATAAATCTAAAGCAGAGAAAAGAGAAGACAGGAAGACGAGGGAAGGAATATAAAACATAGAATGACGTTAAAATAACAATGCATATCACCAAGTTCCATAGGTAAATGTGGATTGTGAAAGAAAGTCAACACTCAACTAACGCGAGTTTCTGTGCAAATGTGCACCTGGCCGCAGGTCGCACAGCTCTGGTCTTGTGGGAAGAGCCCAGGTGTATAACCAGAAGCCCTGTCTGCCCTTGAGGACCCAGGGGAGCCAGGAGATGCAAAAGGGAGGCTGAGAGAGAAGGGCCCTGTTCAGAGTCTGGCACATCAGAGCCTGGCACACAGAGGACACGCCACAAGCAGCTATTCCGGGAGAAGTGGAGAGGGTCCCATCCCAGGGACAGTATCTATTGGAGTGAGAAGGTTGGGGAACACCACTTACTCTGGAAAAGTACTTGCTGTTGTTGTTTCAGGAAAATTAAAGTGCAGAAATAATGATGTTGAGCTCTAATAAAGTATCTTCCCTCTCCCCTCTCAGAGTAGGCCACAAAGCAGTCTGGGCAAACACATTTGGGTTATATTGTTTTGAAAGCTATGCACTGCAGGATTCCCCTCTCCTCTCCCACTGTCTCACCTTCCCTGGGTGTTCTCTGCAGTCATAAATAATGCCAAGAGTGCAGAATAGTTTACATTTTCAAAGTAGTTCACCCATCCACACTTTTAAGAGACCAAAGGACAATTTGCCACTTGTCTCTCACCTATTTATCTCCTTGACAGCATCTGACTTCCAGACACTGAATATGGGGGAGAGACTACTGGTTTCTCAATAAACACGCGCGCGCGCACACACACACACAACAACAACAACAAAAACAAAAACAAACAACAACAACAAAAAACTAAGCCTAGATAACCTAGAATTACCAGCAGCTGGTGGCAGCTACTATATATTTTGGCATATGTCAAGTTTCTAGTTAAAGTGTTAATCACCATGTATTTGAAATCATAGAACTCGAACAGTGGTAAATTTCTTGAAACAATATAGCAATAAAGCAATAAAATATGAATGAATAAAATAAGTCTATAAAATATATGAAAATGAAAAATAAAGTAACTAAAACTTAAAAATTATAATAACTCACGTTTGTGAGTTGCCGGAGTGACTTAAAGGGGATGACAGCTATATTTAGCCTAATGTAGTAGCAGTGATGAGGATGCTGTGGCTGATAATTATGGGTGGTAAAAGGAAATCAATAATAAAAACAGCTAAGAGGTCATTGATTCTGCCACGATTCTATGTGATTTCCCTGAGTGAATTCATTTAATTCTCAGCACAGCTCTAGGAAGTGGGTACCACTATTCCTTTTTCAGAGATGAGAAAATTGACTCAGAGGTGAAGCTGAGATTTGGCACCCAGCTAGGAGGTTCCACATTGAGACAGTACTCGCATCGGCTCTTGCGTTTTTCTCAGAAAGGAGTGAAACGCTGTGTTTCTATCGCAGCAGTAAGACTGCATGACCACCATCAAGTCAGTCCATTTCCATAGGCCTCGGTCTGCTTTAGGTGTGAAATAAAGACGAGATTAGATGACCTCCCAGGGTCAGCTGATTCCAGGTGAAGCTAGGTCAGTAGGTCACAGCTGCAGTATCGCTTTCTAAGTGCCGATTTTATACAACTTACTATTACACCCATTTGACTGTACAAAAACAGGGATAATGATGATTACATCTACCTTTTTCGGAGATGAACTATATGGATTAAATAAAACCCAGATGTGTCTGAACAGTTCAATATGGGGTATTTTTCAGAGTCAACTTAGTTTGCATAAGTGACTGATGATTACACTTTGCTAATAGGGCAATCTTCATCAGCTAGTTTAGTTATGCAATATTATCTCTCGACATGCAGACTGCCTGCTATGAAAATTGACGAGTTACACAAGGGCCATGCATAACTTCTAGTTAATCAAATCATGTTTTCTTGTCTTTCTGATAAAAGAGAGAATTTCACTTCCAATCTTTGGGACCCATCACGTTTCAACTTCTTTCAGTAGAGAACTGCTAGGCTTTTCGTTGGCAGAACTACCGGTTCCCTGCTCATTAGTGGGCCTCTAATTCCAGAATGGCAGACCCTACTAGCTGACAAACCTAAAGTCATTCTAACCCTCTTTCTTCCTCGGACCTTTTCACTGCAGAGGCGGGCAAGCTGAATATTTGCTTTCCCGCTCCCTTTGTATTTCAGGATAATCATATAACCCAAGCTTTTGGCAAAGATAGTTTTTGTTCCTGATGGAAAAGGCAGACACAAGAAGAGAGCTGACTGGCACCACTCTTTCAGCTTGGGACTATAGCGACCATTCAGCATCCTTAACATGACAAGTGTGAAGTCATAAAGCCGTTAGTAAAGGATCTAAGAACAAAAATATAAGAACCTTGCTCCTTTATGTGATCAGTGACTCAGTCGACAAGCTCTGAAATGATTCACCTACCTTGCCCAGCAGGTGTGGCTCAGTGGTTGAGCACTGACCTATGAGCCAGGAGGTCACAGTTGGATTCCTGGTGAGGGTACAAGTGTGGGTTGCAGGCTGGATCCCCAGTTGGGGGCATGCAGGAGGCAGCCAATCAATGATTCTCTCTCATCATTGAGTTTTCTATCTCTCTCTCCCTTTCCCTTCCTCTCTGGAATTAATAAAAATATATATATTTTTTTAAATGATTTACCTACCAAGTTTTTATAATGTGAGAAAAATAAGCCTCTATTTGTAGAAGCTACCATTAATTTGACATATGTTCCTACAGTTGAAAGCACTCCTAACTGGTAATAGATTTAAGAAGTTTGGAGAATATATGAGAGCTATACAAACTTGTTTGTACTAGCAAATTAAAAGGCCTAAATACATTTATGCTAAAAACAAAACAAAGCAAAAAAACAAAAAGAAAAGAAAAAAGAAAAATGGTACAAACACAAATAAGTGATATTTTTGCTACTGCTTATTGCTCCCTAACACTTTATGTCCATAGCATGCTTATGAATGAACTAAGTCAGATGGTATTAGCTGTTTCCACTCCATTGTCATGCAGACATTGCTAATCAATCACAGAACTCCTTCCTATAACCCAGAGCTAGCTTCAGACACAATGTTCCAGGAAACCACTACCAGTATATTAAATTGGACATTGAAGATGAAGGCTATTTGCCTTCTGTTTTAGATTCCTTTTGTTTTTCTCACTTTCCTTTTCTTTTTTCATTAAATTGTACTTATTTTCCTTTTAGTTACAAGTATACACTGGGTGGCCAGATTATGCATTCAGAGATCATAATAGTCTGGCCCCTCAGTGTATGGTAGGTGCAATACAGGAAAGAATACGTACTGCTTTTCTTTTTTTCTTTTTCTTTTTTTTTTTTTTTTTTCAATTCTCCAGATGACAGCCACCAAAAACATATACCTCAGGGTTCTCAAACTGGGGTCAGTGACCTTCAAAAGAAGTCCATGGGTTAAAATTAAGGAATCCATGAACTTGGATGGAGCAAAAATACATCTTTATTTAAACCTCTAACTGAAAATGATATTTCCTTTGATGATGAGTATAGGCAACAAACCATAGAATCTTCTACCAGCAGTACCAGCAACTCTGTCACTAATAGAAATTACAGAATTGTTATATCACATGTCAGTTGTGGTAGAGATATCTAAATATCATTTATACTCACCACTACTTCAAAATATCTACTGTTAGATATGCAATTACCTCTAGATATTTTTAAGGCTTTAATAAAGAAGGCCATGTTGCCTGGCTGGCATGGCTCAACGATTGAGTGTCTACCTATGAACCAAGAGATCATGTTTCGATTCCCAATCAAGGCACATGCCCTGGTTGCAGACTTGATCCCCAGTGGGGGGCATGCAGGAGGCAACCGATCAATGATTTTCTCTCATTGTTGATTGATTCTCTCTCATCATTAATGTTTCTATCTCTATCCCTCTCCTTTTCTCTCTGAAATAAATTGCATAGATAGATAGATAGATAGAGTGAGCACCAGGTTACTATATCATATATTGGATTTAAAAAATATTTTGGCAATAGTATTTAAGCATTTAAATGAATTGCCTTAGTGTTTAAGTTTGTCTTGTGCTCCCATGTATTTTCTTTTATGCTTTTAGAAACACAATGCTGAGAGTCAAGGCTTCAGCAGACTGCTGAAGAGATCTACCGCATAAAAAGTCTAAGAACCCTGCCTGCACATCCTTGCCATCACAGGTAATTTTACATCACATGCGTCTGACATTGTTCTATCACTTTCCAAGAATGACCTCATTTATTTTTCTCTGCCCCACTATGGAGCAGGTTGGATTATTATTATTCCCATCCTCCAGGTTAGGACACTGAGACACAGAGGTGAAATAAAAAGCTAAGGTCTCATATAAATAGTGGACCTAGGAAAGGAATTCAGGGTGTCTACCCACAAAGCATGAATCAATATTATTACTATGAATTAATCAGTATTTCATTCAGGAGAAATAGTATGACCCACCTGGAGGGGACTAAGACAGGGGCGGTTGGTTACTCCCTCACCTTGCTGGGCGGTAGCAGTAAGGGAGCACCAGGCTGTGGTATTAACATGTCTTAAGCAAACTGGAACACGGACTTACTTCCAGGAATTACTTTGTTCCTTATCTCACAGCCTGAATGTATAAGCCACTGATGGGGCTTTATCTTTTAAATACAGACTTAAATATGGACAAACAGGGGCTTTATCTTTTGTATACAGACTAGTAAAACCCTTCGGAATTTACCAATTGAGCCTCTGTAATGCTTGCACTTAGTAACCTAGAATTTGGGCTTAGGCACGCAGAGTTGGGGAAAATCTATTCCAATGGCAGCCAAGCTCGGAGGCTGTGGGGGAGCTGGTAAGCGGTATTTGGGTATTTAGCTTAGTGTACAGGATCAGCACTAATTACCTGTTGAACTAACCGGTTAATGTCTCCCAGCCTCAGTTTTTACATGTATAATATAGAAAGGAAGGTATAATATAGAAAAAAAAGGTATATATATATATATATATATATAGATAGATAGATAGATAGTCAGAAATGTAAAAGGGCCTATCTTCCAAAGGTCAGAAAAAGTACATGTTGGTTTAATATAAAGAACTTGGACACTTCTGACACAGCGACAAGCATACTGTAGTCACACAATAAATGCTAAGGAGGGTGGGGTTTAAGGAAAGAGCCTGACCCTTCAGAGGTATTCAAAAGCTGACTGGATAGCGTCCGGGGGAGCTGTCAGAAAGGGTGTCAGGAAAGAAGCAGAATGTTCAGGCGCTTGTTTGGGGGTTTCTGCCCACACACAGGTCTCTGATGTACTCAAGTCCCATGATTCATTCCAAGGTGTGTACTTTGCATCAGGGAGCAACTGGCCTGGGGATGCCTGTGTGTTTTCTATTTTCCCTTTTATTGTTCAACCAGGGAAGAGTAGGAAAGTTGGGTGTATTATACCATCCTCCCCTGGGAACCTTGGCCAGTTACAGTTCAGAAGGAAAGAGACAGCTTTGATTCCATTTATCCATCTGGGACATACTTATGCTAAAAAAATATTCAGTGTTTATCTGAAATGCAAGTTGAAATTTAAGTGAGCAGACTCTGGAGGAGAAAAATAACTTGAGTGCCAAAGTACCGTCTCTAAAAATCTATACTATCGATACGTAATAAAAGGGTAATATGCTAATTAGACCAAGTCAACTGAACATCTTCCGATGACCGACTTCCTTCCAGACAAAGCCACAGTGGCGGGGGGCCTAGGCAGAGGTGATTAGGGGTGATCAAGAGGGCAAGAGAGCAAGTCTTTAGGGGCGATCAGGCCTGCGTGGAAGAGCAAGCAGTTAGAGGTGAGATCAGGCCAGCAGGGGACAGCAGTTGGGGGTGATCAGGCTGGCAGGGGAGCGGTTTTGGAGGCAATCAGGCAGGCAGGCGAGCAGTTAGGAGCCAGCAGACCAGGATCATTAGAGGGATGTTCGACTGCTTGTTTTGGGACTAAACTGGCAGTCGGACTTCCCCCGAGGGGTCCCAGATTGGAGAGGGTGCAGGCCGGGCTGAGTGACACTGCCTCCCCCCATGTACGAATTTTGTGCACCGGGCCTCTAATAGAATAATGAAATAGCAGGTACCAGATTACAGCAAAAAATAAACCAACCACACGCACACCCCACACAATTTTTGAAGAACCATTTCTTATGGGGATATGGAGATATGCTGCTTTTCAAAATAGACTCTAAGGTTCTGAAAGGAGAAATGTTATGTATGCATTTGAGCGCTCCACCAAACTCTGTAAACAATAGGTACTTGATATTCTACAATCATAGAGTGGCCAGCTACAATACAAGATTCCCAGTTAAATTTGAATTTCATATAAATAATGAATGATATTTTAGTATAATTATGTACTAAGTATTATATATGTTATGCTTACACTAAAAAAATCATTCGTTGTTTACCTAAAGTTCAAATTTAATTGGGCATCCTGCACTTTTATTTGTAAAATCTAGCCCCCCACCAGTCATTCCAACATTCTCACATCAATCCATTTGGGACTTCAACTATCCAATGAAGCTACTACCCTATAAAGTCTCTGCTCAATAACATGTATTATAGTCAAATCTTTATTAAAAAGTGCATTAAATTGCCCTGACAGGTTTGGCTCAGTGGACAGAGTGTCCACCTGCGGACTGAAGGGTCCCAGGTTCTATTCCGGTCAAGAGCACGTACCTTGGTTGCGGCACATCCCCAGTAGGGAGTATGTTAGAGGCAGCTGATCGATGTTTCTAACTCTCTATCCCTCTCCCTTCCTCTCTGCAAAAAATCAATAAAATACATTAAAAAAAAAACTTTAAAAAAAATGCATTAAATTATAAATTATCTATCAGGTACATTTTATGTACATAAGCTTTATTTACTTTTTCTTAGGTTTACAACAATGACATCATTTAAAGGAACTTAATTGTAAAACCTTAAAATCAGTAAGAAGAAAAGCTTGTTGAGAAAACTTCAGCTGGTAGTAATACTGGTGGTTTGAAGTTTAGGGACAACTTAATGAGCTTGTTTGAAGTTTGACGGACTTGCCTTGGGAACTGAGAGCTGGTCAGATCAGACAAAATCATCCAACTCAAGAATGTTCCGCAGAGCAGGATGGGCATTTACATAACATGAAAATTAAGGTTAACATGCCCATTGTCATATCATTAAGCGAGCCTCCTCCAACTCTAACTACTAACACACACACTCACTGGTCCTCCTCTTTGCATCCCTTCATGTGCAGATGAAGCGACAGCTACTGGACAGTAGAGCTGAGAACTCTGGTATCTATCACCTGTGACTGCTCTCATTTCTGGGGTTCCAGCGTTTGGGCCGCTGCTATTCTCTCCAAGCTATTGCAATACCTTAACTAGTTTCCCTATGTCTATTCACTCTCTAGCCTAGTACTTCTCAACTCTTAATTGCACATAGAATGATCACAAATTTATAAAAAACACACATGCCCTGGCCCCACCCAAACAAAATGAATCAGAATCTGTAGGGGTACAGCCCACATACATGCACAGCCAAATGCACTGAGAACTACCGCCCTACTCCAATCCATCCTTCCAAGTTCATCTCTACCCACCACAGCTGGCTGTGCTGTGTGTGGTTTCACAGTTCTTGTTTAAAACAAACAGAACATATAACAAACAAACAAAACATAAACAAGCATCACTGCTTCCCCTTTGCCTATCAAAGCAGGCTCCAATTTTATACCATAGTTCAAAATATCTCATCTCAAATCTGTCCTCCTCTCTCTTCCTACTATTCTCATTTGGGCCTCCTTCTTCCCATATATGTTCCATTCATCCTTCAAGGCCAATGTCCAATGTCTCTGCCCCCTGAGCTCTACCCGTAGGGGATGTAATCTTGCCTCCTTTAAACCTGTAGGGGTAGATTGTACCTGCCTTGGAGACATACACTGAGTGGCCAGATTATTATAATCTCCTAAACGCATAATAATCTGGCCACTCAGTGTATATCCTATATAATCCTATATAATAAAAAGCTAATATGCAAATTGTCCTTTTGACCAGGAGTTCGACCAACAGGCAGGCCGGCCAACCAACCATGTCCCTTCCCCCTGGCCAGGCTGGCCGGATATATCTTCAATATATATACTGAGTGGCCAGATTATTATGCATTTAGAAATTTAAAGATCATAATAATCTGGCCACTCAGTGTATATCCTATATAATAAAAGGCTAATATGCAAATTGTCCCATTGGCCAGGAGTTCGACAAGTAATCAGGCCGGACAACCGCCCATGCCTCTCCCTCTCCCCCCCCCCCCCAGGTTGGCTGGACCCCACCCATGCACAAATTCATGCACCAGGCCTCTAATATATATTATATATATACTGAGTGGCCAGATTATTATGTGTTCAGAGATCATCATAATCTGGCCACTCAGGGTATATGCTTTTTTCTCCTCCCTGTAATAAAGTAAACCTCTTAAGGGTAAGACTGTGCTTCATTACAGGAGCCTAGTAAAGCGCACTATACACAGGAAGTGCTCAGTAACTGGAATTCTTTTGCAAGGTGGCTTATAAAGTTTGAGTTGGTCATTTAGGAACGCTGACGTCCACCCACCCATGTTTTTTCACAATCACTAAAGTGTGAGATGGACTAGGCTTGTGCTGCCTGGCACTCAGGCTTCGGGGTTCCCGAGTGAAGAGGTAAATAAGGAAGTGATGTAAGACCAAAAGCTGGACATTGCAAGTATTTTTGACCCGCCCTGCCTGAGCCAGAGAGCCAGCTCCGCAAACTAAGCAGCAGGGAGATGGAGCGCAACTTGATGAAAGGGGGGAAAGCTGGTTTGGGCGCCAGAGAGCAAGCAGCGGCAGTGACCCGGAATGAACCTTTACAATGAAGTTTCAATGCCTGAGGAATCGAGTTGTTTTCCAGTGAAAGCGCTCAAGTTTGCCCCTGCGAGGGCTTGCAAAAAAAGCACTTGCTTGCCCATCAAGGGAGAACAGAACTTTGCAAACGGCAAAAAGAGTTGTAAACTTTCCAGAAAGTCTCCAGATTCAGCCCAAACGCTGAATGCTGGGTTTTGCTGGAAGGTGGGGGTGGGCCCAGGGGTTCCATGAGGGGAGGGGAGAGGGTGCACAGAGCAATCAAGAGAGCCATCACCAGGCCGATCCTCGAGCTAAGCTAAGCCCTCCGCGGCCTCGGCCCCTCCCGCAGTCCCGGCCACCGGAGTGCGGGACACGCGGGCGGGCGAGCGGGGCTGGGAGGCTCTGGGCAGCGCCCGGACAGCTGGATCCCAGGGGGCCCCACTTACCTGAGCGCCAGGAGCCGCTCGCCCACCAGCCCCAGCGCGATCCCCAGCAAGCTCAGTCCCACCAGCCGCCCCATGGCGCGGAACGGAGCTGGAGCTGGCGCTGGAGCTGCGGCTCGGCCGGGTAGTACTGTGGGCGGTGCCCGCGTCCGGCTCCAGGGCGCGGGCCGCTCCGCCCCGTCTGACCCCGGCGGAGGCGGGTTCCTGACTCTGGGCCGTGGCGACTCCGCCCTCGCCTGGCCCTGGGCCTGTGTCAACCCAAAGCTTACCTCCCCTGACACCTAACCCGGGACAGGGAGCCGCCCTCCCCTGCCCCAGTTTAGGCTTTCAAAGGGAATTCCCTCCCCTCCTTTCCCAAAGAGCAGGCCGCCCTGGGCCTTTCTCACTGCCCTGGTCTCCAAAGACAGTTCTCACCCCACCTGCCCCGGGAGAAGCTGGAGTCGAGTTTTAAAGATTCTTTATTACAGGGAAGGATACAGGGTCCACGTCTTGTAAATAGTTCATGTTGGAATCACTACTTTTTATGATAGGATGTGATGTGGGTGAAAGGTAAGAAACATCCAACTTTTAGTAATGCTTCATCCAGAGACATAAGGACTTGGGCGCTGCTTTTTTACCTAAACTTATGGGAATAAGGATAGTCTTTCTTTCTTCCTTCCTTCCCTTCCTATCTTCCTTCCTTCCTTCCTTCCTTCCTTCCTTCCTTCCTTCCTTCCTTCCTTCCTTCCTTCCTTCCTTCCTTCCTCCCTCCCTCCCTCCCTCCCTCCCCCCCTCCCTCCCTCCCTCTCTCTCTCTCATCTCCCTTTCTCTCTTCCCTCTCTCCCTCCTTCCCTCCCTCCCTCCCTCCCTTCTTTTTCTTTCTTTTACTTTAACAACCATAACACGAATAAAGAAAACAGTATAAAAGAGAAACTTACCCATTAAGATGGAGACGGTCATAAAAAGTGAGCAGGCCTGAAATAAGCTGCTCATGGTGCCAGTGTTTAATCGCCACCTTACGGTATGTAGGCAGAAGATGCCACAAGTGCCGAATTTCAGCTACTACCAGTTTTTTAAACAAGTAATAAATAAAAGCCACCTGGCTGGGTGGTCCAGTTGGTTGGAACATTGTCCCGTACACCAAAAGGTTAAGGGTTTGTTACCCAGTCAGGGCATATCCCTAGGTTTTGAGTTTGATGGGAGGCAAATGATCAATGTTTCTCTCACATTGGTGTTTCTCTTGCTCTCCCTTCCTTTCTCTCTAAAGTCAATAAAGATATATCCTCAGGTGAGGATTAAAAAGAAAAAAAAAAAAAAAGCAGATGCCAGTTTGCCCCTTTCCCCCACTTAGAAAAAAAAGAAAAAGACCCTTCTACTTCTGCTGTGTGTATCTCTGATTGAGTCCTAGGGGATATTAATTTATATGCATGTTAGGTACAGGACTAAATAGCTGTCCTTTGAAAGCCCAGGAGGTTTACCTTGCTTTGTGCCACCGGCCCCTCTAGCAGGCGTACAATCCTATAATATAGGGGTGTCGAACTCAATCAGAGAAGGGGCCAAAATCTAAAATCCAGCCTAAATCGCGGGCCGAATGGTTTACTGAACAGTCATAAACTGTCATTGTGATGGAAACGCAGCGGAGTGCAGTGATGACAGCACGGTGCGGGCCACATTGCAAGGCCTGGCGGGACAGATTTGGCCCTCGGGCCTTGTGTTTGACACATGTGCTATAATACATCATCTGAATACTGTATTGTGTATTCACCACCCCCAGTCAAGTCTCCTACCATCACCATTTATTCCCCCATAACCTTTTCTGCCTCTCCACACCCTCTTTCCCTCTGGTAATCACCAGGAATTTTATTGTATATAGCTTAGCAATCTTTTGAGATACCTGGGTTTATAGGCTTCACCAAGAATACAACCCAGGGTTCATGCTATTTCTTGCGCTTAAATAATCAAGTTACTGAATACAAACAAACTTGTTCTGGAACTTGTTTGTATGCTGGCAACTCCCTTCACTTGGCATGAAACACTGTTTCTCAAATAATGACATGCAACTAGTTTACAATTAGAAATGTAATGGGACTTTGGCAAAATTTCCCAAACAATAATACCTTTTGTCAGTGCTTCTTAAATGATGTGTAGTGAAGGACAGATTTTTCTTTGACTTTCGAAGTACAATGAAAATGAATTACCAGGAAGTGAAATAAATGAAGTAAAAAAAAATCAGACATACAGAAATACAAGCTCGAATCTTTTATTATTTGATTCAACAGATGTAAAATTACTTTGTCAATTTTCTATAATAGTTTCTAAATGCCTACTCTCCAATTCTCTTACTTATCTCACCATGGACCAGAAACAAAGAGTCCACTGACTAAAAATGCTCCTTGGAGCACACTGTCAGTGGACTGCCTTTCATGACTGTACTTCTAACTCTTTAAACTTCTCTGCAGCATGTTATAAAATACAGTGTTCCTGGTAATGCCTGAAATAAATGACTCATGATTATGGCCATTTTATATCCTATGTGTTAGGGAGCTGGTCCCTCCAGATCCCTTTTATTTCCTTCCTCTCCTTACCTCTGTTTTAAAAATGGGGCAAATCCTTTAACCCCAAAATACCTTCAAGGGATGTTATAAAGGATCATTATTACCAGTAAAAGAAAGATTTGCTTTGTAAATGCTTCCCTCTAGGGCTTCTCAGATGGTAAAGGAGACCCCCCCCCCCGCCCCCACTCCACCTCCCCCACACACACCCGCTCACACTCCAAGCCATTTTCTCAGACTTTCAATACATTAAAAAGTGAAGATAAGAACAAACAGAAAAATGATTGCATATATTTTTTAATATTTATAGTTAACAAATTAATATTCTTCAATTATTAGTTTGAACAGTGTGAATTTGTTGTTTATAGAAAAC